CTTTGCCTTTGCCATTGCCTTTGCCTTTGCCTTTGCTTGAATTTTCCGAGGCCTGATTCGTTGTAGTGACGAGGCTGGTGGATTTCACCTCTGCCACTTCTTGCACCTTGGCCTTGTCTTTCTTCTTGTTGCTTTCACCTGATGCGGTTGGCTTAGAGCGATCCTTTCCCCTGATCAGGTCCTGATTACGCACATCTCCCATAGCCATGGCATGTTTGCATAGGAATTTCAGAAATTTGGCAAGCAATTCTTCCTTTGGACAGATTTCCTCTCTCATGGATATCTGCCACTCCTTTCTTATCAAAGGAGGCAATTTCAACAAAATGGCAAAAATAGATTGGTTCGGGTTTTGGCTAAGGTCATGATTGCAGTTCTTGAGGGTGTTGAAAACTGCTTGCACAGTGTTGTACAATGTCATCAACTCTCGTGCTTGTGGATTCGGCACATGCGGTAACCTTACCAAACGGTCGTAGCAGCGCATCTGTGTGACCCAGTCCAATCCATATTCATCGTCCAGCGCTTCAAGGATAAGGTGATAATTGCCTTCCTCGAATTCGTGGGTTTTAGCCAACTCCAACGCATCCCCTTTCAAGGACTTCCACAGGTAGGCCATCTTGATCACGGTGGAGAGGTCCCTTCTCTCATGGATGAGAGAGTCGAAGATCCTCCTGTACTCCCTGTACTCTGTGACGTCACCTGAGAACACAGGCACTTCCAGCCCTTGGAGCTTGGTGTAAGCTCCTGTCCGCACCACAGGTTCAGCAGAGCTGACCCCATGTTTCGTCTTAGCGAGAAAGCGACGAGCCACATTGATCGCATCATAGAAAGGCTTTCTCAATTTTTCACACCGATTCCAATCGGCAATCCATTCATCCTCATCAAGAACCTTACGCCTTTCATCATCCAGGCGTTCCATGGTCTTAATGAGGCCAATCAGTTTTTCATTCAGCCTTTCTACCTCTTCTGTTTCACCCTCCTCCATCCTGTCGTGAATTGCACTCGCCCAACATTTCCCCATGGTCATGTTGATTTTGTTTGTTTTCCGAATGCGTTCAGTGATTGCTTTGAGTGTAGGATTCATTTCTTCAGGATCCCTTGACTCCTCCTCATTGTCATCATGTTTTTTCAGATCATCCTGGTTACCAGTTGCCATTTTGAATTTGGCAGCAACTCGTCTTCCAGGTGTTCGTGGTCGTGCAGGTGCAGGTGGAGGTAGTCGGGAGGGTAAAGACGTTCTTCGGACTCTTACTCGAGATGACCAGGGAAGTTCTTGATCCTCTTCGTCTCCTAAAATCCCTTGTCGTCTCAATTTCACTCTCTCGCTTATAGACTCTTGGACGCCTGATTTCTCAGGCTTTGTGTTCTCCGGATCAGTCCTGACGCCCGAAGGATTCCGCTCCTTCGGTATGGCTCCGGTCGAAGGTTGATCCCTTCTACTTGTCGATGGTGAAGTTTCTCCTGAACTTGATTCACTTGATCCTTTACCCGACTTACCCGGTTCCATAGACTTAATTTTCACGTCACACCGTGATTGATTACCTGTTTAATACCTGTGAGTTTTTTGTCCACTACTTTCGTAGGAACGTGGACACCCTCCCCTCGCGAAAAGAGAGCTTGTGTCCGTGGTGGAGGTGGTGGAACAACCCGCCTCCTTCTTGATACACTTCAGTTTTCACTCATCAACCGTAGATGCACCATGTAAGGATATAGATGATCCTTACAATTTGAACTCGATGGATTTAACACGAGGATCGAATCTCCTCTGATGATGAAATGGAACTTGTTATCCAACGTCAATGTTTCATACGTGGAACTTCTTATCCACGATGAAACAATCATCAATGGCCCAGATTCATTTAATGGTGATGAGTATGTGGTAAGAAAACCGGCATCGTTAGAACAGACTTACTCGGAACATAAGTTTGAACTGTATGTATTTTCATTTTACATCTATTTATACAAGAATGGACAATACGGTACTAATAGTTGTGTAGACACTGTACACACCAATGGGTGTAACCAACCACCGCAAGATCAACCAACAGTTAGGTTGAAAACAAAGGGTTGCAAGAGCAACACCTGCTGTGAATTTTTATACTGCAAGGGTTGGAATACTGCCCTTCAACATAACGTTATTTTGTTTCGTCTCAAGCGCG